CGGAGCCTGGGGAAGAGCTCCTCTCCAGCGACAACCTTGAGTCGTCACATCCCGAAGGCCACTTAATGGCAAATTAGCAACCGCCTGCAATTTGTGCTACTGTGCAGCCATGCGACAGCTCCCAGCTTTTGGAAAGAAACCTTTGTGCACTGACTGGCAGCCTTCAAGCACCCTTATCCATCCATAAAGGTGCTCAACAGCTTTGGATGGAAGTCTGATGACGTGAGGCATGGAAATGAATGCTGTAGTCATTCCCCTAGTGAGAGCCAACTGTCTCCGAGGAAAGGAGCAGCATCCACCCCCTTCTTGACTGCTACTGCATTTACTGTTACACAGTGGGCAGCTACTGCTGACACTGTAGGAGGCAGGACAAGCACATCTGAACCTCTCTCCTGCTTGGAGCTTCTGGAACTTCTGGATGTTGAAACAATTCATGGAGTGAGATGAGAAATAAGCTTTTTTTGCAAGGGCGTATTGGAAGCAGTGAGAAGTAAATGTCTTTTTTGCCTATCAATACTGAAGAAGTGAAATGTTTCTGTGGTCTGGCATTCAAACTGTTGGGATTTTTTTTATCTTATTAAGCAATTTTTGCACTTCAATCTGAGTAAAAATTTCTGAAAAGCAGAAACAGAGATTATCATCCAGATAAGTTTTTTGTTGTTGTTTCAGTTCAGCTGTCTGTGCTAAACAATACCCAGTGAAAACAAACACTTCCCATTACTTTTTTTTTTTTTCTTCTGGACAGAAAGACACTGTTTGTGGTGATGGATGATCCCACTTAGAGGAGACATGCAGCTGCCACTCTGCTCATGTTTTTCTGCCATAGAGTGCTCTGACCAGGCTGAGGTGGCAGACCCGTCACCTTCCCACCAGCTCCCCTGGAGTGGTTTCACCGGAGGAAACACTTTCCCATGCCATATTTGAAACAGTTCTTCAGGGAAGTCATCCGTGGAGAAACTGGGCAGCCCTGAGCTGTCTGAGAAATGAATCTTTTCCAAAGCCTTTTGGGAGTGGTGGGAGTGGGCAGCATGGGTCGCTGCTGCCTCTTCTGTGACCCTGCGGCAGACTTACTGCTGCTAGAAAAGGGAGGAAAAGCAAAATGTACCTTGGCAGCAACAGGCGGTTTGCTTGAACCTCTAGAAAATAGCAGATTTGAGCTACAGGCTGAATCCACGCTTAATCTCTTTGAAGTAGTTCAGCCAAATGAAAAACAATTAGTCTTGCACATAAAGGATTTTTAAGCTCTTTACTAAAAAGTAATGATAGCAACAATATAATATTAATAGTGCCTTGCAATTTTGCAATGGCTTCTTTCAGTGAACCTCAAAGAATTTGACAAACAAACCAATGATGTTACTCCTTTTCAATAAAAAACATTGCAATTAGGTCTTGGAGTTCCCCTGCGATGCCTGGGCTTGTATTTTGCATGAGGTGACTCCTAAGCTTGAGTAGTGCCGTCATCATGATGGCTCATCAGGTGAGCTTCTCTCTCTGGAGCTGACTGTGGATGAAACTTATTGAAAGTTTCTTGCAGTGTAATTTTTCTCCTGTTACCAGACTTGGTTTTCTTCCTATTGTGTCAAACCAGATTTAGGCTAAGGGTACATAGAATTTTCCCTGCTGTGAATCCCACAATAAAAGACCGTATGAGAATGAACTCATTCATATTTGCAAGTTGCTTATCCTTCAACATGGTGAGTGGGCACACAAGGCATCTAATAAGATCATCCTTGTAGGTGACGATCTCATTTTTAGGGATATCTTGTGAATTCCGGAACAGCAGAGCTTTCAGGTTGCTGATTTTTGGAGCTGGCAAACCTTTACCAGTGCCTGGTTTTCACTTTTAAGTATCATTTTTGGCTTTCCACCCTTGAGCATCTTTTCCATGTTCTGCTCTGCCTTCCCTAGAGCATTACTAGCCATGAGACAAATGGAAAGTGACTGATGTTCCAAAAAATGTTGACATCAGGAGAAAAATCCCAAGCTTCCTCACTTCAACAGCTGGGCTTTTATTCAGCTAGTGGAAAGCTCTAGCTGTTTGCTAACACCTTTGATTATTTTTCTGGTCTGGTCTCATATAGCAGAGAGCCAGTGGGGCTGGCATGGGACATAAGGGCCTAAGAAGTGTGTTCACAACGTTGAGGAGCTGTCGCCATCTGCCTGGACTTGTACAAAGCATTTGACACTGTCCTGCACAACATCCTTGTCTCTAAACTGAAGAGATATGGATTTGGCGGATGGACCACTGGGTGGATAAGGAATTGGCTGGATGGTGGCACTCAAAGAGATGCAGTTAATGGCTTGATGTCCAAGTGGAGACCAGTGACAAGTGGCGTTCCTCGGAGGTTGGTATTGGGACTGGTGATGTGTAATAGCTTTGTCGGCAACATAAACAGTGGGACTGAGTGCACCCTCAGCAAGTTTGCCAATTTAGATTATGTAAAAAGCCAAGAGAAATTTTAACTTATTATTTATCCCTTGATCAAAGCAGACGAATTAAGATCAAATGTTATAGCAAGTTTTCACAAAACGATGCCACAATTGCTGAGTGCAGTGCTGTGTTCAGCTCTGGGACCCCCAGCATAAGAAAGACATGGACCTGCTTGAGTGGGTCCAGAGGAGGCCATGAAGATCCTCAGGGGGCTGGAGCAGCTCCCCTGTGAGGACAGGCTGAAAGAGTTGGAGTCATTCTGCCTGGAGAAGAGAAGGCTCTTGAGGGGACCTTAGAGCAGCCTCCCAGTGCTGAAAGGGGCTGCAGGAGAGGTGGGGAGGGACTCTTGATCAGGGAGGGTAGCGACAGGACGAGGGGTAACGGTTTCAAACTGAAAGAGGGGAGATTGAGATGAGACGTAAGGAAGAAATTCTTCCCTGTGAGGGCGGTGAGACCCTGGCCCAGGCTGCCCAGAGGAGCTGTGTCTGCCCCCTCCCTGGCAGGGCTCAAGGCCAGGCTGGATGGGGCTGGGAGCGACCTGCTCTGGTGGGAGGTGTCCCTGCCCAGGGCAGGGGGGTGGAACTGGATGATCTTTAAGGTCTCTTCCAACTCAAACCACTCTGTGATTCTATGATTTAGCTAAAATACATATTGTCAAGTGTATACATTCTCCGCAGGCTCAGAAGAGAGTTTTCCTGGTGACGGTCATTGGGCTGGGGTTCATGGTCAAATCTGTCAGGGTGAATGAGATATCTGAGGGATAAAGACTGAGCTTCCTGGACAGGCAATGTGAGTCAGGAGCGGCGATGCCCATTGCAACCACATGTAGAATTATGGTAATCTCCACCATAGCCTTAAATGCTAAATGGTCAATAAAGTCTGTGCACCTGAAGAGAATATCCAGAATGGAGAACACAGTCATCAGCCAGCCTCTGGAAAACTGGAAGAGCGATGCAGGACACTGAAACAGCACTTTGCTTTATATTTGCAACTGAAAGGGGCCATTTCAAAGGAAACTTCCAGAAGTTTGCCTTGTTTTTTACTGCGGTGGATTCAGAAGCATTTTCATTACAATATTTTGGGTAGATGAGCCTTGCTCATGCCCAGCAAACCTGGCTGAAATCTTTGTCTCATGGTGGTATGTGGTTGCAGGCATGCTGGAAGCAGGGAACTGTGTCCCAAAGGACAGACATCCGAGGCAGAGAGGAGAGCTAGTGAAGCTGGGTTAAATTTACCCCAACAACTGGCCAGCTCTGCCCAAATTAATGTTGACCTTTGTTTTCAAGAAGACTTGAGATGTTTCCACCTCCCAAAGGTTTACCACCTTTGACAATTAACCCTGACTTATCCCCACACACTCCAATCACAGAGAAAAACACCTTTCCTCCTTTTCTGATTTTTCCAACCACTCCATGATGAGACACAAGAAAGAAGGAGCATCCAAGAAACAGGTAATTTGCTTACCTTATTAAAATTGGGAGACCTCACCCTGGCCCCTTCTGAGTCACTAAAAGCCCGGCTAATGGCAAACTGGATAGCCAGGCCAGTCATTGTCCCAGTGGAGAGCGGCTCTATCCTTCGGACTGCTTGCAGGAGCCCAGCTTTGGTTTGGTAGGTCTTGAGGGAGAACTCGTTCTTGACGGCACTGGCATAATTGATCACACCCACCCGGGTGGAGTTGGGGCCCACGTCCAGCCCCTCGATCACGCGGGACATGAAGACTTTGACTTTCTCAAACTCGTGTGGGCGCACGCTTCGAGAGCTGTCGATGACAAACACCAAGTCGGTGGGTTTGGTTCTACACAGGGTGCCTGGAAAGGATAAGGAGGGAGGAGAAAAATAAAAGAAAAAAAAGAGGAAAGTATCCTAGGAGGGAAAGAACGGTCTTGTTAGAGTAGCAGCTGAGGGTAGAAGACCTGCAAGCTTCAATTCTTTCTCTGCCTGTTTCAGAGAGGCCCAATGAGACCACTTTAACCTAATATTTCTAAATGTTCTTTTTCCTTTTATAGGAAAGCATCTGTAAGAAAAGCACGGTTACTGGTTGACAACATGTACTTCTGAGGGAGCGAGCTGATGAGATACCAGCACTGCACTTGGGGGAGCAGGTTACCCACTTGTCACCCCAGGCTATTGCTAATGCCTACATGAAACTTAATTCACTTACGGCAGCACGGAGGGGGGAATAAAGCTGTGAACTGAAGCCTGTGCGTGCGCTTCTGCATCAAACAAAGTCTCAAAAGGAGTTACTACATTTTGGACATGGATAGGCAATCCACATGGATGTTAATTAACGAGATTATATCTTCGGCATGCATGACAAGAAGCAAGCATGAAAGCCAGCAGTTCAGATTCAGTTGTGAATCAAGATGCCCAGATTAACTAACCAACATAGCATGAACCAGTCTCACGTTTTTCAGCTAGTGGCACTAATAATGAAATACTGTAACACAGCAAAGACCAGCGCTGTTTTATTTCTGTCAGCTGGTGAGGGGGAATACAATAGAGAGATGTAGAACCGTGTAATTGATAGTTAATCTCTACAACTCCACAGTAAGACATGAATATCCGATGTAGAAAGCAACTAGTATAAACAGGAAGCATTAACAATGCAAAGAGCTGAGTGATTTTTTTTTTTTAATTTCCCATTTTCATGCTGTTTTCCATCTTAATTTTCAACTGTGACAAAACATAAAAAAGGACTGATATTTTTTATGATTTTCTAAATGAATTGTCCCATTTTCCCCACCAGATCTATAGCATTCTGTTCTTTTGATTTTTTCCTATCAGTTAGCCTGTCTCTGTAGGGGCATCAAGTGCTCTGTTAATATTTGATTTCTGCAGAGAGGGACGATATAGGTTCTCTCATAAAGGATATTTCTGCGGACAGATTTTTAAATGTGAGCTCTTGGGCCAACAAATCTCTTCCAAATTATGACATAAATATTATAGCTAGTCCACAGTGTGAAATCTAATGGAGCTTTCAGTCTTTCAAACAGATGAAAATAAATACCCTGTGATATATCCATAAAGAATATAATCAGGTTAGTTTCCTGAGAGACACTAATGCTGAATCTGCTTTTGGCTCCCAGAAAGGTCTCTCTAAAAGATGCTGCGCGTACAAGGGAAGCAGGCAGTGGTTACTTTGTCAGATGCTCTAGTTTCCACTAAAATGCAATGTAACCTTTTCCCATATGGGTGACTTTCACTTTGCCACCGTAATTCATCCCAGAAGAAGGGAAAACTCAGTTGGCAGTCCATCTACAGGATGGCAAATCCCTTTACCAGGTGGTTATGCCCATTTTACAGGTGAGAAATGAAGGTACAGAAAAAGGCTCAAAGTCTTGTAATCAGTTCTTCCAGAAATAAAGTTCAGAATCCCCTTTGCCACTGCAGCTGATGAATCACCTCTGTTTTTAGTGACAAATCAAGGAAGAAAAGTTTTTGGTTTTGTTTTTGTTTTTTTTCCCTAGGAACAGTTGGATCCAATAGAAGTTTTGAAGTATATTTTCTTTTTTGCATGGAAGCTCTGTGATTTTGCCCTAAGTAAAATTTTTAACCTCTTTTTATGAGAGTGAAGTATATTTAAGGGAAAAGAAGAGATATTAGATGGGAGATTTAGGATTTCAGCCTGTCTGATCACAGCCACTGTGCATACTTCAGGGTCCGCAGGGTGAGCCTTGGCTATCTCCAGGAGGTGACAGACAGGCATGCTTGCTCTGATTGTCGTTTTGACTCAGCATAGTTTATTTTACAGAATTAAATCAGAAATAAAATCCTTCTCTATTTTAAAGAAATGGTCGCAGTTGAAGTTATTCAGGAACAGCTGAACATCATTCACTGATTTAGCAGAAATTATCTCTTAGGGCATCTTTGCCATATTCATTAAAATAATAGGAAACCTGCCTAGTAACTCAGAATTAAAAGGTGTTTATTTTAGAAATAGCAATTGCTCACAGTAGGGCTGAGTTGAATGACTGGTCTGTTTAGTTTCCTGACTCCTGTAGCGCTTAGTGGTTCTGCAGCAAAGATAACTCTCCCTTTCCAAATTACTAAGGAGAAACTGGTCAGCATACCAGAAAACTCCCCTTCATAAGCAGCAGCTAACACCACAGTCACTGTCACGCCTATTTTACAACTGTCAGTCTGCCCAGGTATATGTGTTATGCATCGTCATAAGATCATTCAAACATTTTTAAAACCCAGCAGCAGTTCTTGCCTTGGCTGCCTCTCCTGCGGTGAGTTCCGCAGGTTGGCTGGAGCCCCTGGCAGCATCCTGCCCCTGGCAGAGGAGAGATGCTTCCTCGTCACCAGACTCTCCATCCCTTCCCTTTGTGTTCGGTACTTGCTGACACTAATTGCGGACTAGGAGTTAGAGATCGTGCAACCAGAAGAGCAGGCAGCTCATCTCCCGTCTGACTGCTACACCTCGCTCAGAGAGACAAACCGAGCAGGATTTTGCTCATGAATGGAAGAAGTAAAACCGAGGAAAGGCCCATCCTCAGCAACCTGACACAGACCTTCCTGCTCAGTGAGGTTAACCAGAGCTTGGGGTGTCTGGCCAACACCTCCTCAAGGGCAAAACCAGCCCTCTGCAGAGCTGTGGAGAGGAGAAGCAGGTTTGGAAGGCAGAGGAGAGCCCTTCTCCTGCCTGGGCCTCCTCCAGACAAAAGCAGTGAGCCCCGAGGCTGCTGCTCTGCTAGGGCTGACCTGATGCCACCTTTGCTGTGCCTCTGTACAGACCTCCCACTATTTCTTTAAAGCAATGCAACGGGCAGAAGCAAACACATCTCCAGGTTTTTCTGCCTTGGGAAAATATTTGAGAAAGCTCCTTTGCTTTCCTGACTGATGTTGGGTATTTCTTCTTCCTTCACCTCATTCCCAGTCCCCTGGCAGGCTGGTGGCCAGGAGGCAGAGGACCGACACCATGCATCCCGCTGCTGAGCTCCCCGCTTACCTCTCGGCTGCGGAGGTGACCCGCAAACTCCATAGCTCTGGAGGAGGAGCAGCAAAGAGAGCAGCAAGGCAGAGAAAATCCTGTCCATGGCTGTGGAGGAGCTGGAGGCTGGATGCAGAGTGGCAAGCAAGAGCCTTGGCCCAGAGGTATTAACCTGCCCTTCCTCGGGGAGGCATGGGGCCAGCCCCTGACACGTGTGAAGTGCCGGGGAGGGGTGGGCACCGAGGGGAGAGGGACAAGCAAGAAGCACTAGGAGAAAATATTGCATGAGGGTGGGGAGGCGGAGGATGTGCCCCCATCCCTTCCACAATGGCTTCATTGCTCGGCGAAGGGGATGGGAAGCCGTAAAGAGACCCGCAACGGCATGGTATGTGGGGAATCTGGGACCGTAACAGTGGGACCAGTGAAACCAGCCTTAGGGAACTGGGGTTAACCTGTCAATCACCAGGTCCTGTCTGCAAATCCTGGACTTTGCCCCAGTAAGCAAACGGTCTGCGGTGTGTCAGGCTTGTGTCCTTCCTCTGGCAAAGCCCAGGGAGGGGGCGGTGGTGCGAGGAGGGGGGTGGGAATAGCGTCACACAAATCATCTCTCATTCCCCACGTCTGCCAAGTGCAGGGCTGGAAACAAGCCTGTGGGATCGGGGGGCTTCTCTTCCTTGGCTTAATTTGCAGGCGAATGCTCGGTGGCAGGAGGAGGGGAGAGGAAGAGGAGAGCAAGGCATGGGGAAGCACGGGCGACAGCGTAGGATGCAGAACAAATTTCTTCCTGCGGGAAACAGGTACTTCTCTGTGAGGCTGTGCCCCTTGTGCAGGAGAGCAGGGAGGGAAAGAAAGAACTCAGTAGCCTAAACTAGATAAATAGACAAGAAACTCGGGATAGACAAACAGATTAGAAGTTTGATTTATTTTTTTACAGTGTAGCGTTCAGGTCTGTACACACGAGGGAGATACAGCTCCTGCCACAAAGAACCAATAATCTAAATCAACAAATAAGACTGATGTTGATGCTGCAAGTGAGCAGAAATCCAATGTTTTCTTTGTGGAAGAGCAGCAGGGAGATTTGGTACCAGAGTAAGATGAATTTAGTGATGGGTTCATCACAAAGCAATGCATCTATTTCCTTTTTTTTTTTTTTAACTACTGTATTATACTATTGTCAGTTGATTAAAGCCTTTCTCCTCTGATGGATTAGTCTTTGCTCACCTTTCCAGCCGCACACCCTTGGAGCACTCATCCATTTAATCTGCATTGTGTTAGTGCAGTGCCATGGCAAACTACCTGTAATTCAAAGCCCAGTTTCTCTTCCCTTGTCCAGAGTCACTCTTTACTCCAAAAGTGCTTCAACAGAGACCGAGAGCTCCTGCGGAGAAAGGCTCTTTGATTAGGAAAAAAAGGAACTGTCCTTAGTGAAGTTGCCAGGCTATTCTTAACTCTTTCAACATTAAAAGTGTTAATTAAAATATTAAAAGATGGCTATGTTCTCATGCAAAATCAGGATGGATTTGTCCCACCGCAATATTCCCAGGCACAGACCATCGATCACAGACTTTCCATCATCTCTGGAGCTCGCTGGAAATTCTTAGCCAGAAGGAGCAAATGCTCCAGGTGAGCTTTCTTTTGCTCCCATTTCACCTCTTTCTGTCATTGAGGCACTTTTCCAAGCTTGGTGTCATCTTATTTCATTTGCTTGTTATTTCAGAGCCCCTGGGATTAAAAGAGCTTCCATGCAGGAGGTGAAAACTGCAGATTATGACCATGGAGTAGCATAGAAAACACATGCAGACCTTCATACACACGTGTGCATGCACAAAGAGCCCAGTATAAAAACTTGTATAAATCTGACGCCTGTGAATATTTGCATAAATATATACTCGTGACCATACCTGCATAGAAACATGACTGCACGTACATATTTATGTATATAGATATATTTATGTATATGTTTATGTATATAAATATGTATGTGTGCACATACATGCAGACACATAACTCTCCTCCACGCGTGCTTTTCATGGATGTTTGTATACGCATGGATTCAGATCAGTGCTAGTACGCGTAACTACTTCTCTACTGATATCCTTGTGTGCTTATATGCACATAGCTGCATGTGCTTGCCCAATATATAGAATAGCTACACCCATACATTTATGAATATTAGGGAACAAAGTGAAATAAAAGCATAAAATCCAGGAGATTTTGCTTCCAGCCCTGTCTACGATGGGGTTTCTGCTGTTGCCCTGCCATGCATGCAAGGATCTGTTGGTGCAGACAGGTTTTGCTTGCCATGAATAGGGATCTTTCAGAGCCCTCTGTAAAAGAAGTCTCTATGGCTGTTCTTGCTGAGGAAAATATAAAGTTTCTCTGTGTCATTTTGCTGTTAATTAGCAAAGAAAGATAAATACATTTCAGGTGAATATTTTCACTAGCAGAGGTTGTGGCACGCAAGTAACATTAAAGCTTTGAAAATAAGGCGAGAGGCAAAGGTGTTCTGGATACTCTAGGTCTGCATTTATACCTCTGTAAAAGCAGTGTTTATTTTTAAAATATGAAACATAATTTTTCCCCAGGCCTCCAAAAATGAAAACACTGGATTCAATATTTCAAGAGGAAAATATGCATTTAAAACTCTTCCCGAGCCTGCTTGCAACGTAAACAGACAAACCATTAACAGCTCATGCTGGCCCCAGCGCGGCCCTGCCATTCTGCAGAGCCGCTATTGTAGGCTTCACGTGTCCTGGCACACGGAAGGTCTGCCTCTCCCTCCAACACATTCACCTCCATGTCTCCGTACTAAAAAAGTGCTTGTTTTAAATACCAGATGCCCTCTTTCCTTCCACTGCTGGATGGTTGGCAGAATATCCTGGTCCCACCTTGAAAAAAATGCTTCAGACTGATGCGAAATTGTTGTGTGTATAGCCAGGGAGCTTTTTCCCCAAACAACGGCTCCATTGTGTTATTACCTGAGTGCAGATGGAGGAGAAAAGGCACGTAGATGCTTTGTATCAAGGCAAAGAAGGGGATAGTGAAAGAAAGGCCTGCACCCACACGTGTTTTTCCAGTCTGGGTTTGCACTGTGGCCATTTGCTCCCCACATCCCTGTTCAGATTATGACCATCGGGACTATTCTCTGGATGGAGGTGACAAATACAATGTTTTTGAAAAATCTCTGATAGATAGTGAGATGATCTGCTCTGCTCCACCAGCACTATGGGTAAAACCAGCTTGCCCACAGCCGCAGCCTCCCTGCTCCCACCAATGGGTGGACAGAGGGGCTGGAGCTGCTGGGGCCTTCTTGTCGTTGCTGATGGGAGGTTGTGGTTGCTGATGCCCGTTGTTGACCAGCTCGGTTGGGATGAGCTTGGCTACACTAAGCTTGTCTGCAGCGTCTGGATGTCACAGTCACGGATGAGACCCCTTTAACGACATGGCAGCGTGAAGCTCACCATCAGAGTGCTTAAACTGCTGGGAGACTTCAGCTGGAATATAATAACATTGGAAGTGGTTAGCAGGGCTGGAGAGCCTTTGCACTGCCCTAACAACCAACACAGCCTAACTGCAGCCAAGGCTTCTACCTACAGGTGAATAAGACTGAATTAAAATAAATGGCTTTCTAGAGGCAGCCAGGGTCAGCAGAAGACTACAGGGTGAAGCCAGGAGGTGCTGCTTACTCTCCCCAGCATCACCCATCAGGGAAGGCAGTGCCATCCTTTCCACCCAGGCAAGAGAGAGGTTTTCCTTTGGTGGCTGGTGCCTCAAAGCTCTGCACGATGCCCCAAACTTACTCATGGTTTGCTCACTGTGCTGCATTCTCCTTCCCATCGTCCCTTGTTTTTCTAACCACCTTTCCTGGTTCGTGAAATCCCAGTGCTAAAACACCTCCCTGCTGGATGCCTTCATTCTTTGGATTGCCAAACCTGCTAGCCTTGGGATGGGGCAGGAAAGAGCAAAGCCCAGTTTATGAAGTACTAAAGGTACTAAAAAGCAAGCACATGCTTGTACGGGCAGTATTACAGCTGGGAGAAGTGGTAACTTCTCCTTTGTCATAAGACAAGCAAGTCTGATGGCATAAACCATATAAATGCAGATTCTTTCTCTATCACTATATGCGTAACATTTCACAGGAATGTAGATCAGCTGGGAAAAGCCAAGAAAAATGACGTTTTAGTTTCAATAGTGCAGACATGCTTTGTTTTGATTTGGTGTTTTACTTTTCCGATTTGTTTTGCTCAAGTTTTATTTTAAAACAGTATTTCAGTTTTATATTTACATATTTCCAATAAACATACCATTATTACATTTAATATCTGAGTATAAATTTCACACTGCAACGAACCAAAATAATAAAATCAAAATGAATCGGTCCCTAAGGCGCTTCCATGCAAATGACCCAGAACAATGTGAAGGTTTTCTGTGGGAAAAAAAGAAATGAAACTTAAGACATTTCCAGACTTCCAATAGAGTTCAAGCAGAAGACATTTAAAATATTGGGGTTTTCTTTAAAAAAAAGCACCGTGTATGTAGCCCTGGACCGTAAATACTTCTTAGAAAGAATCTGGAGATGTGGCTAAGTCACACTAGTTGAGGCAGCAGAGCAAGAAGAGGGATGAGAAGGGACAAGCAGCCAAATCTTGAGTAATTTACTGTTGATTTTTATTTCATTCTAAACAAACCTGGTAGTTGTAGTAAATACAACTTTCTTGCCCTAAAGCCTGGGAGAAAACTCCAAGGTGTATCAAAATACTCAGAAATTTTTCAGTCTTTTTCAGGCTTCCTTTGCTGTTCCCATGTGAGTGTTTCTGAGCTGAATTCACAGCCTCCATTTTTCAAATACTCAGAGAAATGGTGACAAAAGCTGCCATTTAGTCAAGGCTCCAATTCTTGTATTTTATCCCCACAGTGTTTCCATTCAGTTTGTTACAGGGAGTGAAGGAGTCCCTCCCAGCCTGCTTCGTTACCAGAAAGGATATTTACTGCACCACCACCGTACTGCGAAAGGGATATTTACAGCAGTGGGATCAGAGCGAAGCATAAAACAAATGATGAAAAGGGTGAAAGACTGGGAAGAAATGAATGGCTTTAAATACAACCCGTTCCACAACTCTGGATCAAAAGAACTGCTGTTTATCCTTTAAGCTGCAAATGGCTGGCAAATATCCTTGTGCTCTGATGCTGTAAATAGTAAATGCTGTTTATGGCTAGTCAATGTTTATGTGTTTTATGGGTCACATTTATTTCAGAGGGATCATTTTTTTATTTGCCGTGTTAACCTGGACCACATCTTCCCGCCGGGACCAAATTGCCTCCTGGGCGCTATTCCTGGCTCACCCGCTGACCACCTGCAGAACTTTGGGCAGCTCAGGTCCTCCCTCCGTGCCTTGACTTCTCCACCTGCACGGTGTCACCGACAGTGCTAGCCCGGCCCAGAAGTCCCTAAGGTTCTGTATTACTAAGTAGCTTGAATGAAACAGTAGTCTGAAGACTTATAGTTTGTGAAGATGAAGGTCACTGTGCGGGCAGCTGCTTTTCTCAAAGGTGAACGAGCCGATGTACCGGCTGGATCAAGGCAAACCGTACAAAAGGACCAGGGTAGGAAGATGTAGTAATAAAGACTCTGGGATCATCCAAGAGGAGGAACATCTTCATAAAATAACTTTCACTAGCAGAAATATTACAAAACTCCTGTGGGCAGACACATGGATGAGAGAGATCCTCAGCTGGAGTCCATGGGGGCGTCTGGCCTGATGGATGAGCGCGCAGACGGAAAGCAAATGGCAGCAAAAGGATTTGGGCTGATGCATGACCACGCTGCCAGTTTCTGTCATTCTGGGCCCACCACCGGCGACAGCAGTTGCAGCGACTTCATTCAGCTGATACAAGTGAGTAATTATCTTAATGAACTGTCTGCAGAAAAGCTGAAGTAAAGCCCGGCTGGTTTATGATGTTTGATTTATGCAATTATAATGGCGCTTATCCCAGGCTCTAGGGTTTGAATCCTGGGTTTATAGGTGTCATTCAAATCAGTAGGAGCCAAGGCAGCAAGAAAAACAAGAAGGGCAGTACAGTCCCTGTGGTGCAGGGCAGTCTGCAGTGACGGGGTCCTGGAGAAACACCACACATCCATCACCCGGGATTCCCTCTGCCACTCCAGGGCCAGTCAGCACATTGGCTTACGTCAGCTGAAGGAGATGCCGGGGAATGCTGCCAAGTTGCTGTCTTTGCCCTCTTCAAGGTCTATTTATACCCACTCATGGACATCAGAATACCCCTGGGATAGGAGAGACCTTTCCATCATAGTGGACGCTATGACTCGATCTGCCTGGATTTGAGCACTGTTGTTCCTATTGCATTATGCATTATTTTTGCCAAGTTGCTAGCAGCTCCATCATGTTTCCAGATGCCATTTCAGAGTCTGATAGAAGCTGGCACCAGAAAAATGCTTCCAGTCCTCCCCAGACTTTACTGACACTGTATTTTCTGCCAGCTTTGGTGCTGTTTAACATCCAGGAAGATTTGTACAATCCAAGTTTTACTGAGTTTCTATGTCAAAGAGTCCCTTACAAAATGGTGTGGCTTGGATTGCTGGAGCAACCCGTGCTAACGACCCTCACCAAAAACCATTTCCCATCAGTGGACAGGTTTATCAAACGTTTGACTAAAAGGCTGTGGTGGTGCATGGGAGCACTTCCAGCACGTAACTGGAGTTTGCAGCATTGTCTAACTGGGGCCAGCCCAAGGCTGAGGGAAGGAGTCTCAAGGATAATAAAACAAAACACTTCTGCAATGGCATAGAGCACAACTCCCTCTCACCCAGCCGTGAGGACTACCTGCGTGCAGTCTCTTGGGATTTGCTTAGACTTAGACTGCCAGGGGCTTTGCTTGCAGTCTCTGGTACTGAGCCTGGTTTTCAGAGCAGACCAGAATCACTGTTGCCCATTCTGCAATTTCCCTCCCTCCTCTGACTGGGTCCATGATATTCCACGAGTTATTTCCTTTTCCTTCGTACCTCGGTTTCCCTTTCTGTGGAACAGGGAGAATATTCCAGGAGTTATTTCCTTTTCCTTCATACCTCGGTTTCCCTTTCTGTGGAACAGGGAGACCGGTGAAGTGCTTTTGGTTTTTTCTTTTTTCAGAGCAGAAGGAGAGGCATGTCCCTTCCAACAGAAGGCACCAGAATGCCTAGAGAGGAACCAGGATGCCTAGAGAGGAACAAGAAATTAAACAAAACAGAAGTGCTTGAAGCAACACACAGACACTCAAAGCAAAAAGCCCTTTCTCCACTAGAGCTTTTGCTCTGGGTCAGATGGGGGGAAAAAGCCACTGTCAGTCAGGTAATCTGACGGCCATCTCTGGGGTCCTGGAGCATCTCCACCTGCATGCTGCTGTTTCTGGAGGTGGTCAAGTCCCTCTTACGTGACTGTTTTGCCAGTGCCGAGATCATCAGCTCAATCTATTCTCTACATCAAAGAATTGCTGCTCATTTCTCCTCTGCATTGGAAATAGAAAAAGCAATGTGGGGAGCAGCATTAAGCATATTTGTGTGAATTGGTTCTCAGCCTGTACTGGAGAGACTCACATCAGTAAATCAGTTTAGAGAAGAAAAAACAGTATAACAGTAGCATATTAAAAAGAGTCTTTTATCAGTCTCAAAACCAGCATTGATAGCACCATCGTCTGACTTATTAACAGGCTTGGGATAGCTTGTGTTCAGTTTGTGTTGGCCAAATCATCTAACATTTCAGAAAACCAAAACCACTTCCCGTCTAGAACTCAGCCCCTGACCTGGCTGGAAACTCACAATAAATCTACACATTTTAGAAGATTTCAGGGGTTTTTGACCCAGTCTTTCATGGGAACTATTCTGAGCCCTGGAGAGAAAATACGGGATGAAGCAGAAGGATCATCGGGCTTGCTAAGAGCCTCGAAACATCAGGTTCATTTAGAAGATCAGGTGTGTACCTGAAGGCTCGACTTCTCATAAACATTGAAACAAACCCCATCTCTGCAAGAGATGTGTTGAACATTCTTCAGCTGCTTTAGCTGTAATATCAAAGTCAATTAAACCAAGTGGCTTAGGGAACGTTTAACCCTGCTGCAGTAACTAAATAGCCAAGAGCATTATTAATGGGAATTTAATTAGAGGTAGAATTTGAACTATTTAAAGAGATGGAAAAGGATTTTAAACATGATTTAGTTGGGTCACACTGAAGAACCCTCTTCTGGTTTAGAAACTAAGTAAACTGCTAGAATTTATCCTAATGATATGTTGGCAGACCCAGTTAATGGGCTTTTGGTCAATCCTGGCCAGTGGAAGGCAGCCTGGTGAAGATATCCCAGTGCTGTGGTGGTTGTCATACCATCTCAGCACCTACAGAAGCTGATAAGGAATCTTAAGGGAAGGACTGTGCTTTCAAATATCTCCCTAAACTAACAAGGAGAGAAGCTCCACCCAGGTACCCCACCCCATGAGGGGTTTGTACTTTTGTGACTCATTTTAAGCATGTTTAAAAGCATTGGAGACCTGAAGATGTCATTGAGGTACACTGTTCCAGACTTCATGTCTGTTGTTGAGTATCCTGGTCCCCTTAATGAGAGATGAAGCACAGAGAAAAGAAATCATCGCCCCTTTTCAGTGATGAGAAAACTGGCTCATAAGTGTATGACCAACACCATTATTTTCATCCCCAGGTACATAAATACCCATCCAGTGAAAAGAACATAGGGCGGCACTGACATTTCTTGTTTATACTTTGGCAAATCTTCCATTGAGCTTGTTGGTTTTTTTTGTTTCAGAGCAGAACAAAGACCTCGGGCTGTGGTCCACGCTGTGGATGATGCTGGAATATACTACAGAACAAATTACACTTTGATACTGAGTTGTTTTAGAAAGCAGGCAACGATCCAAGAAGGTGAGAGATGCTAAATTCCAGAACCTCTCATCTGTCATCAGCAACACTATTCACTAACACGTACAGAGACTGACCTGTGCAATCAGAGTCGGTTGTGAATGTGCCATGGAAAGCGAGATCTTCATTGCTGGTGATAATATACAAGAGGAAGGAACAAGCTAGATTTTTAGATGAAATTGCCAGGTTGGCTGTTAGAAGTACCATCTTTTCCTTTGTGAGCAGCACACACGTGAGATAACATCAGCCTAAGGCCGAAGTACCATTTTTGCCAACTAATTTTTTTAGAAAGCAAACTATTGCTTCCTTGCAACATACTTCGGACAGCAAGGACAGCATCGTTCAGAAATCAGACAGCAAAGTATTGAAGCCATTAACATTTTTTAATTGAAATTCATCTTTCACGTCACACTAAAAGCAAAAAATTGCAAACACTCGGGTATAAAATGGCAGAGCAGTACTGTGACAACTCCAACATGTTGTATATTCTGGAGTACACGTTATTAATCATCATAAGCAGACAGCATGAGAGCTGCATCATAGTTCATTTGAAATCTTCATTCTTTTGCTGATCCTTTTCCTGTAGGGTCCTCAGTGAAAGATGCTGGTTAGCATAGCTCCAGGGTTCAACTATCTCAGTGAAAAGGTTCTTGCCCGTTTTCCCCCATTCCGCTTCCTAAATGTCTCAGCTGCTGAGTTAGATGCGAGACAGATGAGAAACAGCACCTTGTTGGCATAAAGAAAGCCTGACAAGGGATTCAGGCCAGTGCCTACACTTCACATTAGCCAGATGTCAGAGGCTAGTTATGGGAACCTCTGTGGTGCCTGATGCCAAGTTTATTAAAATTAACACTGCAGCTTGGTAGTACCAAGTCAAAACTGCCAGTGTAGAATAAGGCACCAACTCCAGTGGTTCACCATCACTCTTTGTAGGCTCATAAAGTGATCCGGATTCTAATAAGCATGATACTGCTATAAAGTAAGGACTTCTCAATGAGGCTGACTATCTGACAGAGGGGGTAAGAGGCACCAACAGCGATATAGATGTTGTCTTCTCTCCATGAGTGGAGCTTAGATTGTTACGTAGGGTGGTGGGGATTCCTTGGAAGGCAACTCTAAGGCTTCCTCATATGATGGCAGCACAGCCTGAAAGAGAAGACCATTAGTTATGCTCTGGGGATCACATGAAGTGTTTCAAGCAGGTTCCATCTTGGATGTGTTTCTCTCCCTAGTTCAAAGCAGGGTGGAAGAACCACATGGGCTGTAAGATGTAAAGGAAAGAAATCCAGAAGTGTTAGGTGTCAGCAGCACTTTATAACCAGTTTGCTGCCAGTCCCACCTCCTTCTCCCAAAGCATGGTTGCAATAAATGGACCAAGGCTCTTTAATGTCTAGAATACAAGCCTCATTGCCTAAGCGAAGAAGCTAAGCTCAGATCATTCCAGAGGGCCATGATGCATGCACAGCAGGGGCACGCACTGCTGGCAAGACAAGGCTCATCGTATCTGCCAAGTTTCAACACGACAAATGCCTACACTTAGCATTCCATATTCTTCCTCTTTACTTCTCATCCATCTTTACAGTATCTCTTATTTTTGGAAGCTCTTCAGTATCTTTCCATTGTGTCAGAGTGGCTGTATGCTACTATTAAAGAGATCATTAGTAATCTAAGGAAGGACATTGATATTCATTATTTAGCAAACTGATAAGATGAAGTGCAGTGCGCCAAATCTCTCAGACATTGATCCAAAGAAAGGTGAAGATAAACTTAATTTTAAACAAGGGTAGCACTATTAGGCACAGAAACCAAAGGTCAACTGAAATTAAAAACATGTCTCTGGATCAGAGAATGCAAGTGATGTATTCCCATTTATCTGCTTTGCCTGAAGCCTGAGTTTCAGGTTCCTTGCAGACTTTGAAAGATTTTATACAGATGTAAAGTTAAAGCAATATAATACAATTGGACACTGATTACCTGTTAATGCAGCTGTTGAACTCTCTCTCAGACCACCAAAGAAGCAAAAGTAAGGATCATCATGCATCTTATCAGTCTAAGCCATACCTTTTCAGGGAGTAGATCTGAAACAGTCTTTACTTACCTTTTCAACTGCTTGTGGGTCGACTTTCGCCTCCTCTGTCTTGCTGGCTTTTATATACTTGAAGCAGCTCAGGACACATTTGAACATATAGGCCTGAAAAGGAAAGGGTAAGTGAAGTCTGCCATTGCATTGCAAGTCAACAAGTGTATTTCCACTTTTGCCATCAGCCTGCTGTTGTCCTACTCTCGTCTCTGGAGGTAGAAGCTTGGGACCACGTGTCCCAGGGCCTTAAATCAGCCTGTCCTGATCCTTCACTAGAAAGGTGACAACTCCATCTATTCGGGACAGTACACTGGTGTGGGAAATCAATAGGACTAGTAATACCTAAATAAAAAGCACATGCTTAAGCCCTCTGAGAGCACAATGTCATCAGGTAGGAAAGGAAAGCACGTTTTTCATGTTATTTTTCTGAGTAGGCTAAAAAGTTTGGATGTCTCAGAAAGGCACCTTGGGCACAACATCATCCTCCAGAGATCCAAGGCTCCCTGGTCAACTAGGACTGACCTGAAAGGTCAGCTCATTCAACAAAATCCTATCTTTGCAATAGTTACACTTTTCTGACAAGACTGCCTTGCACCTCACAGAGTTACAAGATGCAATAAATAGAGCTTTTCTGAGAAAAAGGGATCGATTGACGGGATTGTGGCACAAGAAGAAAATAAGCAAGGCCTGTGAAACATACCATATTAAATAAATATTTTCCCTGTCCTGTGCAGAGAGGCGAAGTCGTGTGCCTCTTATTTTTGTTGGCCTAAGAGTCTACTTTAAAAACAGTTGGCATTTTCAAAGGAACATAGCGAGTTATATGCCCAGAGAACAAGCCATGTAGCTTAGGATTTCCTAGAACAATGAAGACTGTTTGTCTTGACATAAAGCCAAGACAAAGAATGAGAACAAGGAATGAAGTATCTGAGCTGAAGGAATTAATCCCTCAAACAAACTTCAGACTTCCAGAGATGAGGAGGTAAATCCAGACTTTGACCACCTTTAGGGAATGCTGCAAAAACCTTGCCTCTTCCAAAAGCCTGTTCATACAGAGAGCGAACATGCAAGTCACTGAAGTCATATAAACTGTACAAAACCCCCCACTCATCCTCAGAAGAACCCCCCCTCCAGAAAATCATACAACACAACCACACTTTATTTGATTTTGATTCTGGAAGTTTGCTGCAGTACCAACCCAATACCTGCACTGAATTCAATGAAGCTGACTTCACTTAACACTGCTGCAAGCAACAGCAGGTTCAAGCAGACTAGGTTAGTACACAGGGCTTATGTAAAGACAGCCAGTGACCTTGGGATCATCCCGTTACTGGCTAATTCAAAGCACTCAAGAGTCACTGTAGGATATCCTTCTCCTGAACTGAAGAGGGAAAACTTCTCTGGCAGCTGTTGACATAGTAAGTGGATGGGAAGCTTGTCCTAGAGGTCAGGAAGCAAGCTACTTCAGAAGCAATTATGTTAAACCCTTTCTTTCATTTCCCATCAGAAATGTTTTATTCCCCTTGGTTTCTGCATTCTTTTCACTGTGGTGGTGGAGGGGGATGACTTTATGATACTGAAGTGAGATAAAGGTTACTTGTGGAGGGATGCAAATATCAGCAAGGGAGACTGCCCTGATGGTGCTATGGGAGCATCATCCCTCACTCATTCTGCCCTTTGAATGCTTTGCTTCTCCAAGGAACTTAGGCTTTAACAAATGATGATATCGCCATTGGGGCTCTACAAGTAAACACACAACCAGCCACCACACTGGTAAGGAGCTGTGAAGTTGCATGGAGAGACTTCCACATTGCAAGAGGACATGCTCCCTGCAAAGGGTGGTGTTAGGTGACAGAAAGGAGGGAGAGGAGCGTTACCATCCCCCTAGCATTGTCAGAGAAATCTTTCCTGCTAAAAGGGCGAGCGAAGTCTTACGGGTCTGAGATGAGGTCACTGGCACGGGTGGTCAGGGGGGCAGGTGTCCCATTTCTTCTCCATCTGACGAACCACCTTTTACCTAAATTATGCTGTGGCGTGGGATGCAGATAACTGTTTGGGGGCAGTAGTTGGAAGCTGGCAGGCAAACAGCACCAGATACACAGAAACAACATTTCAGTGTAAGAGCAATAAACGCTTGTGATGGGTCATTAAGCAAGTCAATTTATGCAAAAAGATCTTGGTCTTGTCCAACATACTTAGATACAACCTTGGTGTGGTTGTTCAGTGAATTGAAAACGACATGCCCTAAATTGGCCAAATGGCCATTTTAGGTCAAAAGTGTTTCATGTTGTTGACACATTCCTCATCAGATCTTTACCACTTGGAAGGAACTCTCTCGTGAAAATGGTTTTGCTACGCGTGGAAGAGTAGAGAGATTGTCACTAAGTGTAAAGGATGGCATTCGTAATGACTAGTTTGGGGAGTTTAGTAGACCAAGGAGTACTTGTGCCTGCCTGTTGTTTTTTTTTTTAATTATCCTCCCTCCATCCCTCCTCCTACAAACTCCAGCACAAGGAGGCATTGCAAGTTAAGCAGTCTTGTAGCTAACCCTGTGGAAAATTCAAATCAACCAATTTGCCAGGCCAGTGAGATTTCTGCTGAAGACCCACACTGCCAGCTGGGTTTCAGGGTTAGCTCCACTCCTACTGCGCCATTTATGCAACTATTAAAAGATGTGCTAAAGTCATGTCTGCAGTGCAATCACACAAGACATTCCACTCCACGCTGACTTGTCTGGCTACCTAGGAAGAGTCTGAATCAAAAATTCTTTCCAACTAACAAGTAGCATTTTTCACTATGACAGAATCTGCTCAAGTACCTGGAAAGATCTGGTTTTCATAGCTAGTCTGAAACCCCTCAGTGAAAAACCTGTTCTCTGATCCGTTGAAGCAAGAAGAATAGAAACTATCTTACAGTGGAGTTTTCTGAGATGTAAGCAGGATTTAGCAGCTCAGGGGTTTTAATTAGATTTCAGGGTATCAGTGTGCATAACTCCACTTACATTAGTGCAGATTCAGCGACTTACTCAAGTGGAAGATCTAACCTGCTGCTTAATGATCTGATTTATTTTGGCACACAATAGCAGAAGATTTTCCTATATTTGTTTGCAAACATCTTGTGTTTCTAGAGATGAATGGGCAGTAAAATTTTCTAGATATAAGAGAGATTTTGTTTTATAACCCACACCTGCAGAAGCATAAAACCAGTGATTTGAGTATTAGACCTGCCTCAACACTATGCTGAGGCATAGCTCCTATCGTCCTCAAGGAGAGACCAACAAGGCTTTCCAGTGCCCTGGCAGATTTGAGAGAGAAGTAAAACCAATTCCTCCTATCCCCTAGGCTAGAGAGCTTCCTTCCAGCCTCACCAGACCCTGCAGCCATTTACCTTCAGGAAGAGGACGGCAATGAACGCGATGGTGAAGGTGACCATCACTTTGGAGTATTCCTCTGTCGGTAACTTGTCCAGGGTTGGCAAAAAGCCCTGTGAAAAGAGGGAGAGGGTTTCAGTCATAAATGCATGTTCCTTCTACTAGGGTCACACAAAGTGGTGGAGATCTTAGGAATTGTCTCCGCATGCCTCTCAGAAAGGTGGGACAGGCCACCTTCCTTTCCTCATCAGAAAGAGTACAGGGATATTTTTTTCTCCTACTGTTTATACTGCTTTGGCAAAGATTCTCAGGAGACTATTTAAATGAGAACTAAAAGTGTGACTCTTCAATAAAGATGAAAAGTTGATGCATTTTCAACACATGCAGACAGGCTCTATCCAAATAATTTTGCTCTGCAATTTGCATCCATAAGATTCTTGCAAGAAAAACAAGATTTACTTTTAAGAAACACATGCGTAAGCAAGCTGTCAGTCAAGAACGCTATGTTGGCGAGAACATACGGAAAATCCTCTTTTGTCATCAAACAGAGCAGTTCTGGGTGTACTGTAGAGATCAGAGAAAGTTTACTCCATCTTAAGAGCCACTGAAAGAAACTTCACAGGGGTTCGCAGCATGAAAGATCAGCCGAGCTGGCTCATAACCTACCCCATTGTCTGAAGACTTGAGGGTGAGATAGGTGGGGACCTCCACACAAGAGCTGCAGAGAGTGAGAATACTCAGGCAGAAATCCAGCAGCTGCAGAGCCAGGAAAGGGATCTTCGAGTGTCCCTGCTGCAAGAAGAGCAGGGAACAGGAGTTTGGTTATGATTACAGGATTGTGTCACTTCTATAGATTTCCCACATTTTACACAGGGACTGTGCTTTGCTCACAGGGACAGCCTAAGCTATTTAATTCACTTATACTAGCCCAAATGGTCAACAAACCATCTTCTTGGGCTGATTTATACAAGCTCCACAGAAGAGGCCTCTAGCTGGAGCAGTGATATTCCTAGCTTATGTCCAGCAAACCCTTCCTAGCATGGGCACACCCGGAACAACCCCCCTAAAGCCATGAGACAGAAAAGAAAATGAACAGGAAGATTCCCAGACATAGGAAACTAAGCAATGTCCCAGCTGCCACTAGTTTTCCTTATGCACCCTCTATCCCCCAAGATTGCATCCTCTCTCCAGCCAGTGTAGAAACTACCTCATCATGAGCAGATAATGATCCTTCGTTCCTACATTACGCATCAGTCTCCATCTCATGGAGAACAGAGAAGACCACCCTGGAAGGGAGCTGTTACCTACCGTGTGGCTAAGGGAGGACACAGAAATGATCGCTGGGACTTGCATGTAGGAACTGAACATTGTTAGGAGGCTGAGGAGAAAGTCCATGACTTGCAGAGCAAGGAATGGGATCAGGAGACGTTCCCTCTTCTGAGAATGAAAAGCAATGCCAGTTATTTCTGTTCTGAATGGGAGAATGAGACCAGCTATCAATACCTGAAGGGACATATATTGAGGTACTCCAAGAATAAATACTTTCCTGCAATTTCTGCATCTAATTCCACATACTGTGGTGACAATTGATTCAGGAACAACGAAGGGCCATCAACATTGATTTTTTTCACCCCCTTGGAAAGTTTCTGTGAATTTTCACTATGTGACATTGGCACTTGATCTCGTCAGAGCTGTCATTCAGCCATCCCCAAAGTTTACCGCTACAGAGAAACCTGGGTTCCCACACCAATGCATGGACATTTCTTCTCCTGAAATGGGAAATGAATCCCCAGTGTAATAGGGGAGTTACAGTTCCCCTCCAGGATCTGACTTGCGAAAGAGCAAGGACATGAGGCAATAAAACAACATTTCCAAATCATAACATTTCTATTCTTTAACATAAACCACAATAATGATGGACATGTCACCCAGGTTAGGTAAACCTGGCCGTTAGCAGCCTTGCAGATGAGCCTGAGACTGCACACCAGCCGCCTTTCCACTCTGTAAGCGAGCGGACAGATTTATCTGCTTTTTTGACCATATTTCAGCATTTTCGGTGTGCATTCTCTAGTGCCCTCCTCTAATACCTCCTAACTCAGAGAGGCCTCAGCCAGCAGCTGTATGTGATTTGTGGAGAACATACCTTCACCACACCAAGGAGGAGGTTGAAGCTGATGACAAACAGCATGATGATCAACAGGAAACTGGTGATGACATCAGCTAAAAGTAATAAAAGTAATTACCACATCACTAAAAGCTGGAGCCTAAAGTCCCAATTCAATCATGCCTCTAAGGAAGAGTTGAAGCGTGATAACCTGGTGGAAAGAACCGTGTATGTGGTGGAATGAATGCCATGCAGCTGGAAGGTAACCCTCTCTTCCCTTTCTACACCCGTTTTTTCGTCTGTCTTTGAAACTTCTGTTTCTTTAGCCGTGGGGTTGAGCAGGCTGGCGCGTGGGACCCAAAAGCCTTTATTGCCTGGAGTGAAACTTTAAATATTCTAGGTGACAATATGAAGGAGAAGACGCAAAATGAAGTAGGAAAAAAGGCAGAGTGCTTTTAGCTGATGATTAATAACTCTGAGTTGGAAATTATTTTGATACTCAAAGACAGACAAAGTACCCAACAGTGAAAACTGGTGAAAGATGTGCAAGATTTGCAAGCAGAAAAAAAGCATGAGTTTTAACCACCCGCTGCTGACGGACTGCAGAGTTTCAGGGTGAAATATATCACCTCTACTCTCTGTAGCTGTAGGATGCAACGCACACATTAAAAATCAATGTGTGAGGAGAACAACATGAGGCTATTCTACTTACAGAGCTGAAGGTAACTTTGTCAGATGCTTTGGGTGCAGGAGGGTGATCTCTTACATACACTTAGCTTCCTACTGAAGAGTTCTCAGGGAGCAATTTTCCCTCTTGGTGTTGCAGCCTGCCCTGATGATGACTACCAAAGCCTTGCTTGCACTGTACAGTACATGCGTTTGGTCTTCGTAGCAGTCTAGTGTAAAGTTGGTTTGCTTCTCAAAAAAAAAAAAAAAAAAAGGTAGCTCGCTCCAAAGGCAAACGCTGATACTTTTTTGTCTGTGCCTGCATACTGTACTGTCTTTCACAGAGCCTCCTCCAACTCACTCCCTGATTTCTTTCTTACTGCTTTACCTGAGTTTAAAATATCAAGTCTCTTTGGGGTCTCCAACTCCCAAGCGCTTGGGTAAAGGGCTTAATTTTATTAGGGAAGAGTCAAACTTTTAACTCTTCTGACTTTTTTTTTAAAGCAACAGATCCTTTCCATAGGTATGTTTCTCGAACATCAGACATGTTTGATTACTGGTCTGCTTCCCCCCACGCCAACTGCCCCATTTATTCCATGGCTGTTACATAAATCTAGTGCCTAATCCTATTTTTTCCATTACCCTTTTCCCTTAGTTTCACAAAGAAATCTAGAAATGGTGCTTTAGCCTGTGAGATCCCTGATAAATTCCAGCTGCTCTGAAAGCATTTGCTGCTCCATATTACCCATTTTTTCCCCATGCAAGTGCCCCCTCATCTCCCCTAGCTCTGAGTGTTTGCCTATAGCTTTGGTCCCCACATTTTTAGCGGGTGGGGGAGTATTTCAGTGCTTGGGCACACGTCAAAGTGTCCTTAACTCACTTCCTGGCTTTGCTGACAAGAAAATACAATAATTTACAGAGATGTTGAGGCAGAGAAGCCCACCCCTGTTTGAAGGGCAGACCTACCACCCAGTGCTGCCCATGATATCTGGCAGGAGGTGGGTGCCCATTAGATGCAGCAGCTGCAGCATATGCAAACCATCGAGTACTGGCATCCAGGCTCTGCTAAGCAATATGGTTATGGATGAATGCCAGTTGAAGAAAGGACCAAAGATGATGCTGAGAAGATCTGGAGCCTTTCCAGGGTTGTGGAGGAGCTACCTGACAGCTGGGCTGAGCCACATCTGGCAGCAAGGGCAGGTGTCACCAACAGCAACACTCCTCACACCTAGCAGGCAGTACACTTTATTTCATTTAAATGCATTAATACAGAAGATATTTTAACTTCCCTTACTATCTTCTCAAGAATTAGCAACACACTTGAGTCTCCTCTAGAAATGATATTTGCTGATGAGGAACCTTTAGTGTGAAACATGAGGAAAAACTTCTTCACTCTGTGGGTGACTGGAACAGGGTGCCCAGGGAGGTTGTGGATTTTTCTTCCCTGGAGATATCCAAAACCCACCTGGATGGGATGTGGTCGTGTGTGACCTGCTCTAGTGATCCTACTTTAGCGGGGGGGTTGGACTAGATGATCTCCAGAGGTTCCTTCCAACCCCTACCATTCTGTGATTTTGTTAAAAGAAGTTCTGACCAGTACTTCCTTCCCTGAGGATCAGAAGCCTCTTCCTTTCTGGGGCACATAGGGAAAAACCCTTTGAGGAGACTGCATCCCTCAAAGAAGCAAAAATAGCTGATCTCAAGAGAGGGAGCAGCACTACATGAATGGCTGCGCATGGAGGTGTGAGACATTCAAGACCTAAGGGAGTGATCAAAAGTACCCAACAAACACTTAACCTACATCAGGAAAAAGAGTTTTGATGGCACAAAACAAGAAAGTAGCTTTGACTTATAACCTGATTTAAAAAAAAAACAAAACAATGCAGGATCTATTTACCACAAAGTAATGAGAATTGAAATGCAGAAGAGGAAGAAGTCTTAGGAAACAGCAAAGAAAGAAAACCCACATCCAGCAAACCCCAAATGAGAACAGAGAGGGCAATGGAGAAAGGGCTTTACTGCAGAAGAGGCTGCTCACAGCTTTGCAGCTCACAAGGGTCATGAGAAGATCCTTTCAAGGCAGAAACCCAAACCCAAGTTTCAGAAGCAGGGGAGTAGAGGCAAGGCTGTGATCCGATGCAGAGAGAACCAAAGATTAACATGAGGACAGAAGAAACTCAAAACAAAAAAGAGCTTAACAAAGAAACCAACTCAGCCTTTGTAGGAACAGCCATAAAAGGAGACAGTCCCAGTCCCATTAAACCCTAAACTGCCTGAAGCCATTTTCCCTGGTTTTCCTCCCAGAACCAACCATCAGAAGTTTGCCCCAGAGAGGATTTATCTCTTTAGCACGATGTTTCCTCAGACTCAAGACAGCTGTGTTTTTCTGCCTCTCTCTACATGGTCTCATGCTCCAGCTCTCGGCAGGCTTGCTAATTAATTGGGCAACTGGCCGTTGCTTCTGCAGGCTAATTGCTGGCAGAACTCAGCTGAATTTTCCAAACGGAACCTAGATCAAAAAATCCCTAAACAAAATAAAAAAGAAACAAAAAGCCTGCAACCCTACAGGCACAAAGGGATGGAAAGAAAAGAAAAACTAAGAGAAAACAACTTTCTACGCACTGTCTGCCTCCTGTTTGTTCACAGCAAATGCAGTCATCCTTTCTGCTGGCAGCAGATCTCTCCATTCCAGGGATGTTTTAGTACCAACGGATTTGATCTCAGTAATCAAAGATTTTACTTAAACAAAGTGTCTTCTTCCTTTGTGGGAGCACATTTAGCAGATGGGTTAAGGAGTGCCCCCCCTGGATAGGGGTAACTGCTGGCTCTTAGCCCTGTCTGTGCAAAAACTCTGTGAGATGGGAAGGTGGTGCATGTCATAGAGAGGCCAAATGCCCCCTGGAATACTTCGCAAGGGCTGGCAGAGTGGCAAGTTACCTTCCAGAACCAGCAGTAGATCCCTGGGGATCCCTGGGGTTTGAGGCACTTGCAGCCACAGCAGACCCTAGAGACTGGATTACTGTGAGGCTCTTTTCATGCATCTGTTCTCTGAAAATATAAGATATTAATTTTTAAGTCTCTTCAATATTTCCCATTGTGCTTAGCTGGCCTTTGTAGGATGAATATTTATCTCTTTTGTACTTAAAAACTCTGAGAAAAGGGCAGAACTTAGGACTTTTGAACCAAACTTGTGCACCTGTATAATCTCCATCATCGGGGCATCATTCCACAGTTTTCCCCTCTGCTCCTCCCACATGTTTGTCTGGGTGCCTGTCTCAGGAATAACCTGTTTTCCTCTACAGCACCTTAAAAATACAAGAGCATTCAGAGAACAACAGCGTTTGTCCCTGTAGAAGGTGTGTTGGCTCTTTGAGGGCTGTTAATGCAAGACAAGAGGCAATTGTTACAATAAAGGAAATTCCAGAGAAAAGGAAGAAAAATCTTACAGTAAGTGATACAGTCTTGAACAGGGGTGCAGAGAGGTTGTGGAATTCTAAGCATGGGGATCCACTGTACTTTTCCTCTGATTCAATGATTATAAAATCAGAAAGGGGTAGGGATGTTGCTCCTCACAGCCTGCTTCACTCCTGTAGCCCTAGAATATCCTGCCTGCAAGAATATTCCATTTCTGCAGCCCCCTCCATGGCTGCAGAGGTACTTTATTGCTGGCAGAGAGCGTGGTGAGAGCTTGCCCCCCTCTGAGGTGCACCTTTTTCCAAAAGCACACAGGAAAAAAACAGCAGCAACAAATCAATAAATGTGCTCTCTCTTACAGTTTTTCTTAACTTAAATTCTCTGAGACTACCTGAGTCTCCCAGAGATCCCAGGGAATTTAATAGTAAGGTATATATATGTTCTGTGAAGTAAAAGCCATTCTCCTGGGGGAGGTGGTGTAACCAGAGTAGGGGCATGTGACAGAGCCTCCGCAGAGCTGCACTAGACGTTTGCATTGCTAGCAAGTAGTGCCCAGAAACCCCACCCTCCCCACAGGAAGAGAGAGCATTTAGTTGCAAACTGTCTAATTTTTATTGACTTCACATCGGGGTTTTTGCCCTGAATGTAGCCAGGATGGACATTGAACGAGTCCTAATAATTCCCATGAATGTAGAGAAACCCCTTCCTGTTTTATGGACCAATAAACTGGCATGGGGAGTATAAACAGGGCCCATAAAGCTGCGGTTTGACAGTTGCACACACAGAGAGTCAAGGATGCAGTGTCTGATTTGGTGTCACTGAAAAGCTGCAGGGAGTTGTTTCTGGACAGCCACATTCAAAGGCTGGGCAGAACCAGCAAGGGAAAGATGAATCCCAGTCCCTTTAGCCGGATTCGCTTCTCATCAGAGAAAGAGGGAATATTTTCTGCCTAGGAAATGGTATGCGTAGGATATGGTATATGCTGTGCATACAGATCTTCAGGCATAACTGAGGTATTTTTCTTGGCTGACTGGACAGAAATTGAAACAACTTTTCCAGTTGTACTTTGTCCACAGCCTCAATTTTTATGGTCATTAATGAAAAAGAAAAGTGATTAACACTCAGCCTGTACACAGGCATGAATTGAAGACATCCTAAAGATCTGACTTACGGCAAGCAGTGAGGTGTAATCTTTTCAAGACAGAAAACCATTCATGTTAGCAGCTCAGAACTGGTAAGGAGGTTTTAATTGAAATGTTGGGGGGGGGGATTGATTTTTGGTTTTATTTTTCCAGCAGGAAAAGCAAGTCTGCCAAAGCTCATGTGCTTTCAGAGATGAAGCACTGCCAATAAGACTTTTGCAAGAAAAGCTTCTCAGCTCCAATATAAGATTTCTAGTAGAGTGGAAATAGGAGAGGCTGCATGGGAAATGCACATCCGAATTTCTGCTGTACACGAGATAGAGCATAAAGATGTGAACCTAATTCTTCCAAACAGCAGCTGAATGCCCCGAATCACCAGGCAGCAGGTGCTCTCCTGTTTCCTCTGCCTGGCCAAATTAATCTTGTGTTATTTCTTAAATATTATCTAGGTAGTAAATTTAGATCTACTTTAGATTGGCCAACATCCTGGCATTGGCCCCACTAGGGATGGGAAAATCATCTTCAAGGCTCCCAAAGACAGAGAGGAACCTGGGTCTTCTTCCCATTCTAATCCTACATTTTCAGCAGGTCTTATATGGTCAACTTTCACTGAAAAACAAATTTCAGAGGAGCCCTCTCAGTCCTGTGCTGCCTGGGGCTTCTTGTAAGCCAAGACAGCAAGGAGTAGCAGGCTGCAAGGCACAGAGCACCCCTCTTCTAAGGGCAGCTGACCCAGTCACCCTTCCCATTACCCTGGCAATTGCAAAAAACCGACAACAATCCCAACTCTCCTTCCCCTCCTTGACCACCCCAGTGGAAGTCCAAGCCCGTCCCATACCCTCTTTTTAAGGCAGCAAAACATACTGCTAGGAAATTTTGAGGGAGCTCTGATGCCTTATAAAAAACTCCTATATGTATTTTTTTCCTACTGTACCATGTGAAAAGCGTTTTCCCATAAACTTTGCCTTGTTTATATTCTTGGGCCATGACTACAGCATTAGCATTATACATTCTGAGACGTGCTTTAATCTGGCAGGATCTACAAATAGAGCAGCAGATGCTGAGGGCATTGACAGAACCTCTCCTCGAATTGTTCTCCAACTCTTCCATCTGGGTTTTGAAGTCAAATTGAACTTTTTGTGCTGCTCTGCTGTATTGCTTCCCTGCTAGTTTCTGGAAATAGAAGGTTGCACTGTGTTTATTCCAACTATAATCAGAAAACACAATCTCCCAAGCAGAGCCCTTTGAAATGCTTGGGAAGAGAAGCCAAGTGGAAGTGCTGGGGATTTCATTATAAAATGTTCCTTTTTGTGTAGGAGGCCGTGGAAGAGGGGGGAGGGGGAAGACCTGTCATTTTGATTGTGTGAGAAGAGGGGGGGCTGTTAAAAATGGGGCCAATTTAGCTCAGAACAGTTCTATTCTTAAAGAAACCCCTCCAGATTTCCAGAAATGCGTGTCTGTCTTAGAAAGCATGTAGTGGTTTCCTATGGAAATTATCTGAAAAATCTGTCTCAATGCTTTATTTCTTTTTCTTTAAAGAATATTTTGCTTAGATACTTAAAGAAAAGTAAAAATTATTGGCCTTGGATGATATTTCTGCAAAAGATAATGAAAAACAATTGTCATTTTTACATAACTATCTGTGGGAAAGTATTCTGATCTGCAAATGTCATGTTCAGTTTTCAGCAGTTCAGATCACTGTATTAGTGAGAATACATGTGCACTCTCCGCCACCAGGGAAAAACATTTCCAACTATGCCCACATCCAAGCCTGGTACATGAAAACAAAACAAAATACAAAAAAACCCCAACAAAAACAAAAAAAAAAAACCAAATCCAAAAAAGGAGGAAGACCTTAAGGTCACACTTAGATCATGTTCTTCAGTTTTCATCTGTAAAACTGAAACTAGAAAGATGTATTACAGAAATGGAAAACTGGCTCCTCCTACCCATGTGGTGCTGATCCCAGAAAACAGCCAGGTTTTAGCTCCTGTTGGGTGTACTGCCTGTTGCCCTAATGGGAAAGTTCTGCAGAAAGTATTTTCCAAAGCAGTCATCATGCAAGTCTACACTGGGTGTTGAGCTGAACCACAGCTGCAGAGGGACCTCTCTGGACCACAGCTAAGCAAAGTAGCCTCCAACCCACCCAGAGTTGACTCCTTTGGAAATAATGCCCCGTGTGAAAGAGGTGAACCATGACGGCAGACTCTTGTTTGGTGTCCTGTTAGCAGGACTCGTCCAAAATTTCCATTTTCCACTCACTGTTGGTGCCTTTCAAAACAGCTTTGGTGGATCGCAGTGGTGCCTCCTAAACATCAGCTGGATGTTTGGAAAAATGTGAACTCATCTGTTAGCAATAACTTCACCCAGACAGTGACTATGCCTGTTTTGGTGCTTTCCACTATGTCTGACTCCTACCCTGGGGACAAATGAGTCTGGGATGTGCAGGAACCTGCTGTACTTGGTTTCCTTTTCCTCCACTTCCAGGGGGGTCTCTGTGTGCATGCTTGCAGCCTGGGGAAGGACATACTGGAAAAGCAGGGAACAGTCAAGTCCTTATTGCTGTGAGTTGCATTTTTCTCTGACTACGAGCCTTCTCTGTAGGTAGAGACAATGTAGGGTGTGGGAGCCTAGTTTCCATCTTTCTGCACGCAGCAGAAAAAGGTTATCTCAACTTTTGGTTTTATATTGAAAAGTGACTAATAAAAGGAAAAAGCACCCTGCATCTGTTGCTTCCAAAATGTGATGCTTGTGACTATTTGTGGGATATGAAACAGCCTGGCTGCTTCTTCCAAACAACCACTGTTCTGCAGAAAACACCAGGAGTTGGGAAAATCTGGGGATGGGGACCAAAGGAACAGGGGGAAAAGTGAGGTAGGCTGGTGTGGCACTCTGAAATGCCTGCAGCTGTGAGGTAGGAGACTCCTGCGTGACATGACGGATGACGAGAAGAGGTTGGTTCCATGGCAAAGAGGGCAGGGTATTGGTGGCAATGTCAGGTAGCCCACGCATTCATGGGATGTAGTGTGGGGCTAAAATTTCTCCCCACTCTGGGACCCCAAGGTCACTGAACAGACTAGGTCCGTTGAGGAGCTGGTCAGACACTTCAGCATTTTCCTGGAAAATGCCCAACACGTGAAGGAAGTTAACAGCGTGTGTAAGGCTTAAATGATCTACGGTTGGTGCAAAGAAAGAGAAGGGGAAACCAGGATTGTCAGATTAATGCGAAGGGTATTGCAGAGGGAGTGGGAAGGCTGAAGGAATATGAGGGTACTGCAGAGTCTGGGCTGAGGGCCTGATCCACTGAAATAAAGAAAACTTCTCTGGGCTCCACACTGGTCTCCAAAAAGTCAACATAGCCATGGCCTAAACCAAGATCCTAATCTTTAGAGCCTAGATTTTGTCTCTGGGTCTGAGCTTTTGGCCCATCTGCTCTGAATACCAGTTTCCAATTTTCTTTGATGAAAAAGAAAAAGGGACCCATGTGGGACCTTGGGCTCCCTCTCACCCCACAAACCGTTGCTGCTTTCCAGCGTCGTGGTGACCTACCAATTCTGTAGTAATCCTTGTCCAGGTCTTTGCAAAAGCCTTTCCCACCTGCGACCTCCAGGGAGTACTCGATCAGCAGCAAAACGCTCATAACCTAGGAGAACAAAAGCAAAAGACACAATTCAATGGGCCTTGGGCCAACTTCCTATCAACAAATTTGTCTCCAGGGAGCACGCAGTGGCCACAGTCATAAATGCAGGATGGGTCTCCAAGTGAGACAGTCATGAAGGGTTTAAAATTCCATACCAGGAAATATTGAGGCAAAAGTTACAAGTTTATTAATGGTTTGGGTTTAACTGTCTTTTTCTGCCAGCTTTTGAAGGAGGATGGAGAGATTACAAAGCTCATGAGCTTTGTTTCAACATTTTTTTATCCAAAAAGTCCTGGATTTACATTTTGAAATGGTATTTTGCTTCAGAATTGGGCTAAATGTAACGATAGTATTTTAAAGTGTAAAAAGAAACACAAAAGGTTAAAGAGTTCTCTGTAAGTCTAGCTATACTACTTCATTGACAAAAATGTATGTTTTCTTCTTTTATTTATTTGAGAAAAATCTCCAAATGTTTTTTCACATTGAACTAAAATGATTTTCTCCAAGTTTCCAAATTGGACTATCAAACCCCAGACTCCAGGGTTCATTCCGTTCTGAGTTTAGCAAGCTGCGAGGTGGAGTGAGGTTTGGAGCTTTGGTCTCAGTCCTAACGCTGAACTTCTATGTGCAAACAGTGCTGATCTGCAGTGAAAAATCCATTTCTAACCCCCAGGCTAGGGAGCGTTCCTGTTGCATTGGGGCGCTGGGCAGTCAGGGGCTGCAGAAAACTTCCATAAGGCTGGAGACCTCAACATGGAGCACCTCAGACAGCAGGCCCAGGGTATTTCCGTGCAAGTAGAACCAGGAAACAAGTAGCCACAAGGCTGGACACCCCGCCACATCGCTCCTGGGGACAATCCCACCCCAGTGTGTAGGCTACAGACAGCACATGCCAAGGAGACCAAACATTGTGGATCCAAAACCAAGACATCCAAGGCCACAATGGAGCATCAGTCACTGCCCATGCTTGTCACAGCAGATAACACCTCTTGGGGTAAAGGACTACTCTGATGCCATTTATTGCTCCTCCATCACCTTACTGACAGTTTCAGCACTATGTAGAGAGATGGCATATTTCTGACTGCACCATGTGTCCCATCTTGTTCATCACTTTCTTCCTGGTTCTCCAATCTCTGCTGTCCTCCCTCATGCTTGGTATGTCTTTCATTTCTTCAGCATTTTTAGGCTGTAGCAAGCTGGAGCACAGCACGGTCTGCCAGCCCTATACCTACAGCCGCGCTTTCCAAAAGCAGCACGGTGTGTGCTGTGTTGTTTTAAAATTGGCTTAACGGTGTGGGTGGCTGGGGAGGCAGCCTGCTGCTGCGTTCCCCGAGGATGAGAGAAACGTGGGCTTATTACCCCACAGCTACGTCTCACTGTCTGGACAAGCTCTCTGATCTCTCTGCTGCTGCGCCAAGAGCTGCCACTTCTTCTCTGCCTGAGCCTTACCCCTGTCCAGGAGGACCTTTTGCCACAACAACAGGGCACAGCCCAAGAGCAGAGAGAAGGAGTCAGACCAGGAGAACCGCACGGACCATCATGCTCTGTGTATTTTCTCCTTGGAGACGTGGGAACTGAGCCTGCAGGAGAGGAAATCCCAGGGTGTGCAAACAAATGGAGAAACCTGTGCCAACAGGCCTCTCCACCTCCACCCCACCAGCACCAGGTCCAGCATTGGGAGCACCCATTCTGCAGACTACCAGGGACAGGAGCCATCAGCCGAGAAGAGGTTGTTGTGAAGAGCTGAATGGGAGAAGCCATTTTACCCGGACTGCACAACCTCTGTCTGTGAGCCATCTGAACCCCACGCTGATGCAGGAAGCAAATCTGTATCTGCCACCAGGATCAACACAAACTCAGGTACTGTAGAGCTGAAAGCTGAAACAACTTTTCCACAATAGCTATAGCAGCCTTCCGTTTCAACAACTTCATTTCGAGAAGTGATGCAGGCAAGGAGGAACCGGAACCGTTGTGGTCTGTGCTCATGTTTGCGAACTTTATGTATGGGAAACAGCACAAAACCAGCAACTGCAGGGAGGTGAGGCAAACCCAGCTGTTTAAGTCAGCAGAAGAGAGAATATTTGCTGTCTTTTGCAGAGCAGTGGCAGGAGGTGCCGGATGAGATCCAGGCAGACTTCAGGCAGGAGTAACATATAGTCAGCTGTGCTAGGGCTGAGGTTGCAAGCAAACGAAAGGAAGAGGCATAGAAAGAAAAGCTTTGCATTGCCCCAGAAATGGGGAAGCGTGGCTGGGAGCGATGGCCGGTGGCTGAGACAGGAACTGAATGCAGACTCTCCCACTGCCTCTGTGTTAGCTGCAGAAGACCTAGAAACTTTTCGAAACTGAATTCATCAACTTTCTGTGCCACAAACTGCAAATGCAGTTTCCAGAAGATCACATGCTGACTTCAAGCACCCTAACTTGTCTGAGAGGTTTCATGTACATGCTCATGAAGAGACTTCACTTCCCTTATTGATACTGTTGGTCAAACCCCTCAAACGTCAACACAGGAAATATAGGAAGAAATTGCTTTTTCTGTTAAATGGAGGCCTGAGCAAAATGAGTGACCTGAGCTTAAATATCAGTTGCAGTCCTGAACGACAAGTGAGTGAAAGCAGGACGTCAAATCCCAAATGCTCCCATCCCAGATGGATTTACAACCAGAGCAGAGGCAGAGGCTAGACTTCAGTATGAAGACCCATCTCTACTGTCTATCAAAGAGGGGAACAGTAGACCAAAAGATGTCCTGGTTTCCTTGCAGGTGTCGAAATGAGCCACACAACCAGGCCAACTGCAGTCACATAAAATAAGCGTGCATCAGATAGGAAACTCAAGCCCAACCTGAAAGTCTAAGAAGAAGACTTCTAAAGTGAAAGTTGGCTTAAATTTTCCGTTTAGAAGGACTTTAGCATCGAAAGAATGAGCCACTGAACTGCAGCAAGATAAAACAGACAACGATCTCTGGGCCTTTCCCTTGGCTTTTCATCACAAGTGCCACATGAGGACTAGGGTACCTCTCCATCACCTGACTTTGGCTTGGACATGCTGCTGCCTGGCATGAGGCAACCTTATTTATTCCTGTAGACAATATACATACAAGGTGATGAAACCTCTACAGTGGGCTCCTTGCCTCAATTTGAGAAGAAGGTAGAAGAAGATTGATGTGATGACTGCCCAGCACCCCTTGTTCCACAAGGTTGTGTATGTTCTCACTTGAGATCCACCGTTCAGCTCCAGAAGAAACCAAAAAGTTCCCATTTCAGAGAGACAGGACTGCTTAGACAAGCATCCAGTTCCCTTTCTTATTACCATGTCACGACAGGAGAGAAGCAGGCTTAAAATAGGAAATTTCACCTCCCAGCACTCCATTTGCAGCTTGCTTGGTGTGCTGCAGTCTCCCATCCAGCCAGCCCTTCTTACTTTATCTCCTACGGCTACAACTTTTGGAGACCACCTCTCATGTTGTTGCTGTCTCTGTTTAAAAGGAGTGCTTCGAATTTCTTGGTAAAAGACCTGTAATGCCAGGAAATGAAGTGGCTTAGCCAAATAGTGTAGGACTGAGGTAGAGCCAGTCTTTAAATCAAGGCAGCTAAATTGGGGGTGTCTCGCAAGGCAGAATCTTAACAGCATGACGCACGCAGCCCGCATTTCCTGGTGCATAATTTTGCTGCAGTAGGGTTAAACTGCTGTTAGAGATTGTGTCATGTGCCTTCTTTTTTCTGAAATATGTGCAGCTTGACTAATCTCCAAATAATTTATCTTTATGCATATGGCCTCGGTGTGACGGCTGGGCATTTTTTTTTTTTTTTTTTTTTTTTTTTTCACACTGAGGGTTTCTGCAAGAAGAGCTTGAAGCCATAGTGAACCGGGGTCACTGGGGACAGCGACATGCTGCTCTGACAGTGCGTTGGGGTGCTGTGAAGGTTTCTGAGAGCGGTGCATGCAAGCAGGTGACACCCGGCACTTTGAAGGCAAATAGCACCACATAGAAATGCTGTATTTTCAGAGCTTTGCCTTTTCTTATTTTAATATAAAAGTGGTTGTTGTGGCAGGGTAGGATGAAGGGAGGGGTGGTTTTAGTTCCCATTTGGTTTCCTTTCAAAACATTTTATCTTTCTCTTCCTGCTGCCTTCTTCTCCCCCTCTTGTTTGTGCAACAGAGATGCTCCAGGAGGACGAGAGAGCAGCACAAGGTCTGCTGGACATCTTGGGTCAGCCACAGCCTGGTGAAAGCACAATGACTCGCAGCTCTGTGCCAACACAAGTCACATCCACAGGTGAGGACTGGACCTGGGGAAGGTCCCAGAGATGAGACTCTGCTCCTTCAGTTAAAGAGCTGCCGAAGTGGAGAGCTCATCTGCAGCTGAGGCCAGACCAAGGTACAGACATGCTGCTTCCTAAGACGTATTTGGCTCTAATCGAGGATGAGCAGCAAAGGAATTGTAGGATTTCTGCCCGTTCTGTATGCGTGGAAACACCTTTACAGCCTTGTTCTTGAATCTGATGTCGAATAACTCGAGGTCTGTTCATTCCTGGGAGGAGCCAATCAGCAGAAAGATGAATTCCTCCATGCTTTCCTTGAAAGTCACCTGCAAGTCGCCTCGCAATGAATGAAGCTTTGCTAATCACGCAGCTCTGTCCCCTCCTCCTCCTTCTGCACTTGTTTGAGAATGCCCACGATTTATTTCAACTGTCTATGCAGAGATCAGCAGCGAGACAAATCTGATTTACAGGAGGCCAAGACATCGCCACAAAACATGAGAGCTTGTGTTTGATGGCTTTACTATCACTCAGCATCACTATGATTCATCACTAGGACCCACAGCAATGATTTATATTGATACAAACCAACGGTATTGATGTAGCAAATCATCCAAGTCACTGCCAATTTATAAATCCCCTTTTCTTTTTCCCTTTCTCTGCCCAGGTGCAGCTACATGATCAAAAAGGTGGAGAAGAGGTATGGGAAAAATGGTTGCTATTCTGTGTTATCTCTTACAGAAGTAAGACAAGACAACCTTCTCTGGAAATTAAACTGTTTTCCAAGGGGTTCTGTGTAAAAGAAACCCACTGAGATGATACAGTAGGTACAGACACAGTAGGACCCGCAGAGACTTGCAGAGTTACATGCTCTGGTGTTGCGGTGATGGTCAGTCTGTCAGGAGCCAGCAGCAGGGTTGAAGAGCTGAGGGCTCAGGCTGCCCCTGCCCCTTCCCCATATCCTTTACTGGACCAGCCCTGGTCTTCAAGAGCATCTCTGGCTCCTTGGTCTAAACCCAAGTCGCATGTTATCTGCTGATGCTCCCTGGCACCACATGCCCTGCGCTGATCTTCTACATCATGCTTGTGCATATCTTACAGCAGTCACCCTTCTGGTTTTGCAGTGACACGTCACAGTTTCAGAGGATGACCCCACACCCTCCTGGCCACCAGCCACATCCAGCTGGTCGCTGCAACGGTGGCTGAACTGCACGAGAATGGTCATTTAGAGACAAGGGGCTGCTTCCCATCCAGGGAGCCCTGGCCCTGGGGACTACCAAGGTAGGCAAAGGGAGAGCAGAGCAAGGACCCAGCTGTGGCTCTGCAGCATCCGCTGCAAAAGCAAGGTGAGATCCCAAGCTAAGTTGTCGGGGTGAGGCCAAATTATGCCCTGGCAGAGAAGAAAGGGGATGCATGCAGCTGGCTGTGACTGCAATGTGACAGTTTGGTCCTCATTAAAATATCAGGCCGAGTTATTGCTGCTAAGTCCTTTCCTGTGAATGTGCTTAAGAGCAGTCTGTTTTAAAAATGGTGTCAGGGTCACATTCACACTCAGTGCAGACTTGTCCCACATAAAAGAGGGTCAATGGGCAGCTCCAGCACTATGATTGCCCATGCTGCCATACTTAGCTTGCTCCCAGATTTGGTTTGAACCACTCCAACCACTTTTTTTTGAGACAAATCTGCTCCAGAAGGGGCTGATCCCAAGCCAGGGAGCATCCCTGGGCTTCTGGGCCCAGGATCAGTCCTTTACCCTCTTTTAGTTAGCAATGCAGATAATCGATGAGTTTTGTCTCAGATACCTACCCTTTTATTTATAGAAGATAAGGTATAAAGCACCACTAAGTATACCACACATAATTTCTGACTTGAACCATGTCTCCACTGCTAACAGTCAGGAGAGGGATAACTTTCACAGCAATAAAAGACTCTGAAACAGGCTCTTCTCATAGAGAGCCCTGTTACACTAGAATTTGTCAAACATGGAAAAGAAATGATTGAAAAGGAAATGTGAGCACAACAGAGCTGGAGATTATTAAACATTACAGCTAGTAAACATGATAGGTTTTGTGTAGCCTCAAGCTCAAGGAGTCTCTGATGTACTGACTGCAGAGGGTGCACAGGGCAGGGATCACTTGGTACCTGTCCTGCTTCCAACACCTTCTTCAGCTGCTGCTGGCTGCTCTTGGAGGTAGGCTGGGAGGCTGCCAGGCTTCGGGGCTGACTCAGGACATGTGTCTTATGACTTCTGCCTTTGCTGGCTTGCAAAGAAAAGCAGCTCCTCTTGCCTGCCCTGGGTGGACCTTTGAACCTCTTCTGCAAACTCTTCCTCATGAGCGCTGTGAAGGCTTTCTGCCTTTCGCTGTTCGAAATTCAGTTGGTGTCTTCAACAGACCCACAAAACTTTTTTGGCCTTGCATGTCTGTCATGTGATGTCACCGGTAACTAAGTTTTCCCTGTTAGCCTCCGGCACTGAAAGGTAAGGTCTTCCTCTCCTCCATCACGCACTGGTGCAAATCAACAATCTCTGTTGTCGTTAGTGGCATCACGGTGAAACACTTACAAGAAAAATGCACCTCAGTTCAAAGCATTTGCTGACTTCTGAGAAAGACAAAGGAGGGGTTTTTATGATTCACCCTCCCAGCTAGGAAAAAATAATCCATTTTCTGCACCTCCATTTCACCATTGATAACAGATAGCTCACATCACATGACGTGCTTGTAGCTCTCTGGAGAAAACGTGTTGAAGTTCCCTGTCTTGTGCTTCCCACCCTTGCACAGACCTTTAATTTTGACAGCTCCTCTTCAGATCTTGGCTATGCTTCCTACCAGGGTCCCATTTCTAAACAGTTCATGACCAACCCTCTGTAATGGCTGTATGTTTAATTGTTGTCAGAAATCACTTACGTTCTGCTGCAAACTCTCAGCTTTGATAGGTTCCAATTTTTGTGTCTTGGGATTATGAGCAATGTCTTTTGCTTTAAAGCAATGAGATTATAAGCTTTGATCTTGTGGCAAAATCAGAGTAGCCTGCCCAGGGTGTAATTTGCATGCTCAAAAAGCAGAAGGCAAAAAAGGTTATAAAATTGCATGGTTCTTTTAACCAATCTCATAATGTTTTTGAGGTCCCTAAATGATTAAAATAGGGCATGGAAACACCACTACTGGCTTTCAAGTAATGCCGGGGAAAGATGTTGGCAGTTACATTGCGTGAAGATATGGTGTAGACCCAAGTTTCTCTGCTCTCCTGCTCTGGGCTGGCACGGGACCATCTTCTGTTCCAAACCAGGGAGGTGCAGAGATGCTGCCCTGCACCCAAGCACAGCCACCCCCCTTGCTCACTGCCTCCAGCAACCCACATCGCTGCTGACTCCTGGCATGATTATAAAATCCTGTCATTCACTGGATGCTTTCCCCTCTATCTTACTATCCAAAAAAGCAACTAAGCCGATCTCCAGATTTCTTTGCCTTTCGTTTCCTGAGTTGAATCCTCCACCAACGTGTGCAGGCATAGCATCGTGGAAGTCAAGACCACTAAGCCAGCACGTCAGACCGCTGTCTTGGCTTTGTGTGAGTGAGGAGGGGGCTGTGGCGCAGTGAGGGTTTGCTGAGGCGTCTTGGATTGCTCCCACTGCCCCAGGAAAGCAGACCAGTGCTGCAGGGGGACCACGGCATGTCCTTCCCATGTGTGGCACGGCTGCCCCAGCTGCCATGCCCAGCACGTGTTCGCAGGCTACAACTCCCCTCGCTCCACTTCTGTGCAAGGAGCGGGTTAAGAGCCCCCGTTAACCGTTACCACCCTGCAGGCTCCCAACCCGTGACGGTGCACACCGAGTCCAACAGATGGGATTATTTCAAGTGCCTGCGCTGTGCAAGGAACCACATCCTCAGTGTGACCCAAAGCCACCTGAAAGCACCTCTGTGCAACTGGGTGGCGTGGAAGAACTGCTCCTCTGGCCTCTGCTGCCTCTGCTCGCTGCCATCTGTGCCCACCCCCGAGCAGTTACGCCAGCTGCCTGGCAGCTGAACGCAGCCACAGATCCAAACGGAAACCGAAACGGTGCGTATAGTGTCCAACTGGCCGTGAAGAGAGCAATGAGGCAGCTTGGCCCACCCGCCCTTTGCTTGCCTGGGGCCCCAATCCCTCCTCCCTCCAGTGACCCATAATTTCAACACTCCCACGGTTTCCATTGCCAATGGGCTGCCCAGTTTCTAACCAACATGTCCAGGTAGCCATGCTGAGCCCTGGCCAAGCTACGCATCCCTGCATGGGTAGGAGCTCCTGCATTAAGCTGCAAGGGAAAGCAGAGTGAGTTTGCATGAGCTCCAATTGGTAGAGACAGGGAAAAAAATAGTTAAAAACCCCTCCCAGTATAAGAAATTTCTTCTTGCCCCCCCCCTTCCCCCACCACTTTCTCCTCTTTTGTCCATCCCTCTTAAATCATTGGTTTTTCTCTTTTGGGAACACGGAAAAGTCAATAGTCATGAAACCTTCTGATCTGCAATGATTGCTCCTTCTGTAAAGATTACACCTCCGTCTCTCTTTTCTTGTCTCCCACTCCCTGTCCCCCCTTTCAGTCCTGCGACTTACCACGTGGAAGATCCCTAGAGCGACTGTTGCTGTCTTGATGTTGAAGAAGCAACATTTGGGGGGTTCGGTGGTCGTTTGGGCAGTCATTTTCTGATCCCTCTGCACGGCTGTGAGTTAATGAGGTTGAACTTGCAGCAGCCGCCCCACTGAAAAGCGAAGCGAGCAGTGCAGCTCAACTTCCTTCCTGGTCTATAAATGTGTTAAGTCATCTACAAAGTCACATGAGGTCTTTGATTTCTCAATAATAAGGAAAGCAAAATTGTGTTGCTTTTCTAACAGATCTTTGACTGCTTGCACATCCCAGATGGCAAATGTCAGCACAAATGCTGCTTCAGGCAGGTGGTGTCCAGCAAGTGAGGTATACAGGGAGAGGAGGGATCTGAAGCAGGGTGCAGCTTTGTCCTACAAAAATCAGCAGAAACAAAAGCAGGGGGCCAAGAATTTCACCTCAAACTTGACCTGCTGTTTTTGCAGTGAAGCATCCAAGTTCCTCGGTTTGAAGCGGCTAATTCCTTGCCAGCAAAGTCACCATGCCTTGGAAGTGCTCCTGGGAGCCGATGCTTGAGCAGCCCTGGACTCTGGGACCAGGATGGTGGAACTCCAAAGGTCAGGGTTGTTGGCTGAGAGATCTGCAGATTTGCTGCCGGTTCCTGAGACAACTGATGTGATTTATGTTAGTCAGCTCTTGGAAAAGAAAAGCCACAGAGAGATCTGAGCCTGGTGACTTAGCCACTGTGCAGGACGTCAGATTGTCTACCCCTGCTTGGACTTACTAAAATATGTGCTTTTTCGCCACGTATTTATTACCATTCTCATAAAAACCATTTTTTTCTTTCGTTTTCTTTTCCTTTCCTCATTCCTCACCCTATGGAACAGAGAAGTCACGCGTTAGACCTTCTGTGGAGCAGTTTTCCCTGAGTTTCTGGCTTCCTGTGAAAGGTCTGGTATGTCACAGCAGGGTGACAGCTCTCCAGCAGGCAGATGCAGGTAAATGTGAATGAGAGAGTTGGGCACACTCAAGCAAGCTCTCAGGGGACTTGCATGCCGCCATGCCTGGTTGCAGCATCCCAAATGTACCCACTGAGTTTATTGTTTTGTGCTTCCAGGAACATTCTAGCCAGCAAACCATCAGGGCCCTGCAGTGCCTGGGCTGCCTAGGGTTTTCTTGTTTGTTCTTATGAAACTAAATGCACAAATTCCACCTCAATGCCAGGAAATTGCTGTTCTGTAGCCCTCCAAATCCGTACAGAGCAGTACGCGTCCGGCTGTGTTATATGGGAGGTGTGCTGGAAAGCTTCAGTCTGGCACAGTGCATGTTCCCAAGTGCCATGGAAGTTCCACGTGATGTGTTTTTAGAGAAAGTCAGGCGTTTTGGGCAGTGATGCTGTGAAATACAAGTAGCTGAATGCCCTGGAGATGCTGCATCTGAGACAGGGTCAACTTGTAACTTAAATCACATGGCCTCTAAAAGATTGGCCGTGCCTTTATGCCCAGGGTCTTCCTCCACAGCCAGGGATCTCTGCAGCACAAAGACATTTCAGGGCAGGGCAGGGTCAGTACAGTTGTGTCCTGTTGCACATTCCCATGGTTTTCTTTGGAATCTTACCAAATCTGACAGTTTATTACTTAAGTCCCAGGTTTTGAAGTCACATGGTTCTCTCTGTCTTTTATTTCCCTTTAAGGATGCCTCTATGTTTTTCACTCTTGCATTTCTGGGAAACTGTTTAGAGTAAGGGCTAAGTGCAGCTGAATGGAAGAAGAAAAGGGAAAGGTTTATTTTTCTTTTCTTTTTTTTTTTTTTTTCACTGTTTGGTGATGACACTGCATTCTGGCCAATCTCATAACAAGCTGGGGAAGAAGATGGACTCATATTCTTCAAAACCCTGACGACAGCGGTACAACTCCTGCCCTGCAGTTGGCAGGAGGCTGAAAGCAGCCTTAGGGTACATCTGGGGACCAGCTCTGAGTCAGAGCTCACGCTGCCCTGGATAACTTGTGCTCTCCACCGTTCACCAGTTTGAGAGAAATGCTCAAATGCGAAAAAAAAACCCCAAAAAGACACTAGAATGCTGAGCGTCCTGGGAGAGAGTGGAAGTTGAGCTGGCTTTAGGTCAGCTCTGGGTGACTCAGCCCAGGGCTGCACGGGCAGTTTGGTGTGTTTTATTTCAGTCCAAGTCTATGGCTTCAACTCCAGTTGAAAATTTCCGTACAAAGGCAGCTGAGCTGACACTGGTGAGCCCATAGCAATGCATACACACCACGACTAGAGAGAGCTGCTTTCCTTCACAGCTTTCCATCCAGGGGCTTCACGGGGCTCCACAGAGGTGTGCAGGCATCATTATCCCCTGTCTACAGATGGGAAACTGAGAAATGGGTGCAGAAATGACCCCATTCATGGCCACACCACTGACCAGAAGAGAATTGAGAAGGCAACCAGTGCCTGTGGATTCACAGGCTGCTCAGTTATGAGGAGAGACTTCATTACAAGGAAAACATGAAATTTATAGACGCTGAAATTATAGCATTGGCAAAGGATGCCTTCACAGTAAGTTATATTTCTGCAATACACTCAAGACCTGCCTGGCTTCTGAACAGCTCCAGATTTCAAGGATATATTTTTTATGCAGAGTAAATTTGAGGTATGTTTGGTTTCCCTCCTCCCCAGTAGAAGTTTTACAGATTCCACCTCTTTTTAGGATGGGAAATAAAGTAACTTCTATAGAATATAGTTACAGGTCTCCTGTTAGAAGAGGCCTCCTGTAGCTTCGTGCCTTCACATGCAATAGGAAATCCATGGCAGCAGCTGGGAAATGCTCCTTCCAGATAGTTTTTGTTTATTTACAGAGGTAAAGATTTCATCACGCATTATCACAGTGCTGAAGTGTTTGGGCTGAAGTCCCCAAAATGTGCTCTCCTATTTGTTTTAAAGCCATATCTTTCCATCAATCTTTCTTTAGTATGACAGGAAATATTTTCGAAGCTGTTTAACCATGAGGAGGTTCATCTTCCTTTGCTTGAAGTGTCATTGCTGTAGGGTTGAGGGTTTGGGTTTTTTTAAACAAAACAGAAGAATAGCCACATCTCCTGGAAACACTTTGTGATCTCAGCACTGTTGGTGGGTGTTTCTCAACTTTAAGAAACTCAGTGCATCATCAGTCTTGCCTATTGTTTTGATTTCTCCAATTTTAGGGGAGATTAGGGCTTGTCCAGGGGACAGGACCTTGCTGTCTAGTCTGAACTGTGCACTGACCTCCCCATTACCTAAGACAGAAGACGTTTCTGCCACTTTCCCCTTTTCCTCTCCTGGGTTATGAGCAGAGCAGAGCAAGATGGTGCCCTGCCATCTGCCTATGCCTTGGAGCCCTCACTCTGACCGCAGCCTCTGCGATATTCATAGCTCTGTGAAAACTTTGCCGTCTTGTGGTCACGTCTCGGGTTGAATGAGTGCAAATGCCTAATGTTAGTGCCCAAGCCTAAAAATTGTCTTCCCCCAAGAGAGACAGCTCTGTCCCCCGTGTGTCTCTGCCGTGACAGCCTGCACTGAGCGCAGCACCAGATGGCCACCATTCCTCCAGGGCTCCAGAGATGTTCGACGCTGAGGCAGCAGAGACCTCTTGTACCATTTAAGTTTGGTCCATGAGGTTGCAGCCAGAAAGCCCCTCTACTAGAGGTACAATTTATACTGGTAAAATGAGCTCAGTAGACAACACAACTTCTGCCTCCCTGGTCGCTGTCACCTGGTAGAGCACAGCAACTCTTGTGGGGCAGAAACTGCAGCTCTGGAGATGGGGAGAGGCAGATTTGCTTGAATATTTTCTGTGACAGGAGTGTTTAGTATTTTTGCTCCTCCAGACACAGTGGAGCAGTGTTATGAATACATACTGACAGGCAGGTTTGGTTTGGGATTTTTTATTCCACAGTATTAAGAATATATACTTTACACGAGTGTTTCAGAGCTCCTGATTCCTAGCCTCCATCAGGTGGAGAGAGGAAGGAATGGGAGATAAATGATGAAGAGTTGCTTAAGTTCTGTTGGACCTCGAACTAGGTTTAGACTAAATCCTACCATTTTGGGGTCACTTTTGAACCAAATCACTTGTGACTAGAAACTGGTAAAGTTCTGACATCACTGCTGGTTGTCACCATTATGGACCATGCTTTTCAGGCTAAAAATGAGGTTGTTTTAGCACATTTTTCAGCATAGCCTCTAACTGCTATTAAAAAACAGCTGCAAAGATTCAGTGGTGGTTCCGTAGTACAACACGAAATCTCTTCACACGCAGGGAAAGCGTAAAGCCATAGGTAAGGACTGAAGGCAGCACAAGCTGCATCAAGCCCTGCACCCATCAGCACCCCCAGGGCAGCTAGAGCTATGCCAAACCACAATAATTTCTGGAGCATCTTTGGGCAAATAGGGTTAAAAATAATACTTGGTTTTAAAAATTGATCTATTTAAGCATCTTTCATTTACAAATCAGCTGCAAATACAGGCTTTGCTTTACTTTTCCACATGAAACATATTTTCTTTGGGGGTTGCCTCCCCTCAAAGCCATTTTGTGGGCCCAGCTGAATGAAGGTGCAGGAGGATCAAGTATTTCCTGCTAATATGAAAAGCTGGTTCATAATTTGAACCTGACTTTGCCTGAAAAGTGTACTTTCCCTTTGCAATCCCCCCCTCTCCTTTTAGAGGCAGACAGAGGCTTGCTTGTGTGTTTGAGCATACCGTACCCAAACTTAGCTCACAGTGTGTAAAAACAAATACAAAGTGTGGCCCAGGCTGGGCCATTGGCTTCAAATAGCCCTAAATGCCAGTGCATATTTGGCTTAGAGCATTATCCTGAGTGGCCCCTTTCAGTGGGCTGCATACCAGCCTCTTCAGACACCCAGACTGTTGCTGAAAGATCAGCGTTGTAGGAAGTCAGTTTGCTCTAAGGAACACAGCCTTGTATTTTTCTGTGGACATATATTTTTATATGCTTTGCAGAGCCTTGCCCCTGACTCCTTCCTGGAAGCAATCCCAGGTGGGACCTCTCGTTTGAGGGGTCTCAGTCCTTCGACTTGATTCACAACCCGCTGCTGTCAGAAGGCGTCTCCTATCAAGATGTCTCCTTCAGAGAGGGCATGAGGAGAGGCTGAAACGAGCCACGTGCCGCTCTCCTTTGCACCCGC